CAAAGCCTATTGGCTTAGGCTGTAGCTTCTATGTATCAAATGCTTTTACATGTTTCCAAAGCATAGTTTTAGATGTCAAACTGGCTAGATAGTTAAGTAGTTTAGGTATGTGGTTATGAAGACAGAGGTTGGGAATTTGATTCTTCACTTTGCCTTCTGTGAATAAAGCCAACCTGTGTGGTGTTGGGCAAGCTGCAGAGTCCCAGGACGCCACCAGAAGAAGGGAATGTGGGTCACTTCTGACTATTTTCTACCTGAAAAACCCTGAAAAGGGTCACTGTAAGTCAGAATTGACTTCATGGCACATGATGATGATAGTACCTACCCTGCTTCTCTGAAAATAAGACCTAACCTGAAAATAAGCCCTAGTGTGATTTTTCAGGTTGCTTGCAATATAAGCTCTACCCACAAAATAAGCCCTAGTTAAGTGAAAACCCGCCTTCCACCACTGTGCAGCAACCAGAAGAAGATTGTATGACTGTGTTTGAATAAACGTGGAAGAAGAAGATTGCATGACTGTATTTGAATGAACGTGGATTGTACATGAAAAAAAAAGCATACCCTGAAAATAAGCCCTAATGCGTTTTTTGGAGCAAAAACTAATATAAGACCCTGTCTTATTTTTGGGGAAACATGGTAGATATTAAACAGGGGTAGGTGAAACACTATCCTGCATGTAGCCTCCATGGCCACTTTTATAGGCTGTGGGCAGTCGTTACCTAAACATTGGTCTTTGTAGTTTAGTCGTTAAGTCGTGCCCAACTCTTTGTGACCCCATGGACCAGAGCACACCAGGCCCTCCTGTCTTCCACTGCCTCCTGGAGTTGGGTCAGATTCATGTTGGTAGCTTTGATGACACTGCCCTACCATCTAGTCCTCTTCTCTTCTTGCCTTCAAGCTTTCCCAATATCAGAGTCTTTTCCAGGGAGTCTTCTCTTCTTATGAGATGGCCAAAGTATTGAAGCCTCAGCTTCAGAATCTATCCTTCCAGTGAGCACTCAGGGTTGATTTCCTTCAGAATGGGTAGGTTTGTTCTCCTTGCAGTCCAGGGGACTCTCAAGAGTCTCCTCCAGCACCACAATTCAAAAGCATCAATTCTTTGGCGGTCAGCCTTCTTTATGGTCCAGCTCTCACTTCCATACATCACTACTGGAAAACCCATAGCTTTGTTGGCAAGGTGAGGTCTCTGCTTTTTAAGATGCTGTCTAAGTTTGTCATCGCTTTTCTCCCAAAGCGATCTGCAGTGATCATGGACCGAAGAAGGTAAAATCTGTCATTGCCTCCATATCTTCCCCTTCTATTTGCCAGGAGGTGATGGGCGCAATGGCCATGATCTTAGTTTTTTTGATGTTGAGCTATAGACCAGTTTTTGCACTTGCCTCTTCCACCCTCATTAAGAGGTTCTTTAATTCTGCTATCAGAGTGGTATCATCTGCATATCAGAGGTTGTTGATATTTCTTTCGGCAATCTTAATTCCGGTTTGGGATTCCTCCAGTCCAGCCTCTTGCATGATGTATTCTTCATATAAGTTAAATAAGCCGGGGGACAATGTACAGCCTTGTCCTACTCCTTTCCGAATTTTGAACCAATCAGTTGTTCCATATCCAGTTCTAACTGTTGCTTCCTGTCCCACATATAGTTTTCTCAGGAGATAGATAAGGTGGTCAGGCACTCCCATTTCTTTAAGAACTTGGCATAGTTTGTTAGGGGCCCACACAGTCAAAGGCTTTTGCATAGTCAATGAATCAGAGGTAGATGTTTTTCTGGAACTCTCTGGCTTTCTCCATAGTCCAGCTCATGTTAGGAATTTGGTCTCTAGTTCCTCTGCCCCTTCAAAATCCCGCTTGTACTTCTGGGAGTGCTCAGTCCACATACTGCTGAAGTGTACCTTAAGGATTTTGAACATAACCTTGCTAGCGTGTGAAAAGAGTGTGGTATGGTATGGTAGTTGGAGCATTCTTTGGCACTGCCCTTCTTTGGGATTGGGATGTAGACTGATCTTTTCCAATCGTCTGGCTGCTGCTGAGTTTTCCAGACTTGCGGGCATTTTGAATATAGCGTCATCTTTTAAGATTTTAAATAGTTCAACTGGAATGCCATCACCTCCACTAGCCTTTCTGTTATCCATGCTTTCTAAGGCCCACTTGACTTCACTGTCCTGGTTGTCTGGCTCAAAGTCAAAAACCACTGGGACATCGGATTTTTCTGGTATAATTCTTCTGTGTATTCTTGCGACCTCTTCTTGATGTCTTCTGCTTCTGTTAGGACCCTACCATTTTTGTCCTTTGTCATGTCCATCTTTGCACAAAAGGTTCCTTTGTACAAAATCTCCAGTTTTCTTAAACAGATCTCTGGTTTTTCCCTTTCTGTTATTTCCCTCTATTTCTTTGTACTGTTCATTTAAGAAGGCCCTCTTGTCTCTCCTTGCTATTTAGAAGTCTGCATTCAATTTTCTGTAACTTTCCCTATCTCCCTTGCATTTTGTTTCCCTTCTCTATTTGTAAGACTTTGTTGGACAACCACTATGCTTTCTTGAATTTCCTTTTCTTTGGGATGGTTTTTGTTGCTGCCTCCTGTACAATGTTATGAGCTTCCATCCATAGTTCTTCAGGCACTCTGTCCACCAAATTGAGTTCCTTAAATCTGTTCTTTACTTCCACTGTGTATTCATAAGGGATTTGGTTTATATTATACCTGACTATCCCGGTGGTTTTTCCTACTTTCTTCAGTTTAAGCTTGCGTTTTGCTATAAAAAGCTGATGATCAAAGCCACAATCAGCTCCAGGTTTGTTGGGGTTTTTTTTGACTGTGTAGAGCAGGGGTGTCCAACCTTTCACCTTCCCTGGGCCACATTAGAAGATGAAAATTTGGTTTGGGCCGCACATACATTTTGTTTGGGCCGCATGGGGGGGCAGTCCTAGCCGTCCTCCACAGCCCCGCTCCAAGCGCGCTTACCGGCAGCTGTGATCTCAGACAACAGAGGCTGCCAGCTTCGACTCTGATGGCGTTATGGGGCCGGGAGAGGGTCCACCTATTGACGGGGACGGCGCAATGCAGTCACGCAGCCTCCCTGTCCCCTCCCACTTCTTCCTTCCTTCCCTCTCTCCCCCTCTACTGTTGTGACATGCCCCGGCCACATTCCGGCCACAAGCGCCGGCAGTGTATCTTGAAACTTTGGAATTTCTTTAAAAATAAAAAATTGCAGTGGGCCGCATTACTAGCTGACCTGGGCCGCCTGCAGCCCTTGGGCCGCAGGTTGGACGAGTCTGGTGTAGAGCTTCTCTATCTTTGGCTGCAGAGATTATAATCAATCTGATTTTGGTATTGCCCATCTGTTGATGTCCAGGTGCAGAGTCCTCTCTTGTGTTGTTGGAAAAGAGTGTTTGTGATGAGCAGCTTGTTCTCTCGACAAAACTCTATTAGCCTTTGCCCTGCTTGGTTTTGAACTCCAAGCCCAGACTTACCTGTTGTTCCTTTTATCTCTTGACTCCCTGCTTTAGCATTCAAGTCCCGTATAATGAGAACATCTTTCTTTGGTGTCAGTTCTAGAAGGTGTTGTAAGTATTCATAGAATTGATTAATTTAAGCCTCTTCAGCAACAGTGGTTGGTGCATAAACTTGTATTGGCCTATCTAGAAGGTGTTGTAAGTGTTCATAGGTCAATTTAAGCTTCTTCAGCATCAGTGGTTGGCGCATAAACTTGTATTGGCCTCGTATTGGCCAACTGTCCCCTCCAGAAACTTCTAAGGAGTGCAATTTACCATTTTGAACCATTGGGAGAGGCCTGGACATGTTATAATGCAAATGTGGTTGTTACATTTGGCTTTAAAAAAAGACCCTCTTGTGTCTCAAATAGGTACAGCCACCCCAAGAGTCTATCACCCCCCCCAGATTATTCTGGAAGTACGGTTCACCAATTGTAGGCCACAAAATTTGAAGATGGGGTGTCAGGTGTAAAAATGGTCAGTGTGGCCAAGGTTCCAGGAAGCTTATGTAATTCTTTAACTCCTAGAAGTTACCTTCCCATTATAGTGTAATATCTAAACTTGACCACCCCTGACTTCTGCAATTGTGACATATAACAAGTTTATAATGGGATTTTGCTTTAGTCTAAATATACAGCTTTGAGTCATTTCCAGCGTTCCCTGAAACATAAATTGCTGCCAGAGAGCTTTCAAAATTATATGTAGCAAATTATCATGCTTTAAATTATAACCAGAAAAAGAAAAAAAAGTTGTGCTTTGCTTTCTAGCACATGGCTAATCTTGCTTGCTTGCTTGCTTGCTTGAGGCATTCACTTTCCTGACACTCCATTGGTGATAATGCTTTTGCTTTTCATGGCTTACATTGAGGGCCTCACTTGTTGTTACTGACTTAGAAGAGAAAATTGCTGAAGTGCTGAGAACATCTGATTGCCACGGCACAAGCTTGTCATGTCTGCTGTAGTTTTCAAATCAGTTCATTTTCTGATTGGTGTGATTTGTCCCCATCTTTGCTGTTGTTCCACAAGCAGAAGAAGACCTTTCTCTTCAGACAGACTTTCCCTTAGGGGCTGGACATCTGAGAACAGTTTTTAAATATAATGTTGTATCTTGTTGCTTTGAATGTGCCATTGGTGCTGATTTTGTTTCACATTTTTAGTTTGGTATTTGCTTGATTCTTTTAAAATGTTGTATGCTTACTGTTTTTAGCCTTTAATTATTGTCTGATATAAGCCACCATAGTTCCTTCTTAAGGAGAAAGCTTGGGTAAAAATATTTTCAACAAACAAGCAGATCTAGGCTCTGCTTGCAATATGACCTTTAGTCATGAAGGTTTTGCCTGAATCACATCTCACAAGCACTTAATAGGTTTGAAGCTTCTACTGATGGCTCTGTAGAGAATGATATGAACCTCGGTTCAGTGGTTTGTGCCAGTTTGCATGGCGTTCCCTTCACATTTTCACAATCAGTGAACATTGTTTATTGCAACTAATTGGTGCCTCTTTTCTTCATTTCAGTATCTATATCACGGGTTTGGTCTTGGAGTGGATAAAGAACAATGGTGGGATTGCAGCTATGGATAAACTGAGCCAAACTAAATCACAAATGATTTATGACATTATTGATGGATCCAATGGATTCTATGTGTAAGTTGCTTTAACTTGTATTATTATTCCTTCAATATAAATGCCTTATAGTAAGCAGGCATGAATTCCTACTTACATCTGTCACTTTAAAAAGAGGGAACTAAACCCTCTGAAGTTGATGCTGAAACTGTTCCAGATGATAAAAAGATAGGAAGTTAACAATCCCAAGACTGGCCCTGGCTTGTTCTTTTTAATAAGTGCACCAGGAAGATGGTAAGTCTGCAGTAGCCCTCTGGCAAACTTGGTTGAAACTTTATCTGTACAGGCATGTAGAAATACTTTGAAAAACGTGATTTAAAATATGATATGTTCCAGTACAGGACAGATGAATGTTTACTTGTGGGTTAATTACGAGAAAACAAATAAATGGAAACAACATCTCTTAAAATTTGCTGGGCCTCAACTCTGTACATGAAATTATTGAGGAAGCAGCACGGGGTGGATGTGTGAAAACAGTAAAATGCCAAGTTGGCAATTAGATTTATAGAGATTCAGATTGGCAGTAGATTGCTGTAGTATATATGTAGTATATTGAGCTTTGACCAGTAATATGACAGCCACAGTTGTTCAGTGTTATACTAGCACTGGGCAGGCCAAAGTTCAAGTATTTACTTGGCCATGAAGCCAACTGTGTGTCCTTGGGACAGCCCCTGAGTCTCAGCATATGTTACCTTATAGAGTAATTGTGGTGATAAAAATGAAGGAGAGGAGTATGCACATTTTCTTGAGCTTTTCAGAGGAGATGTGTGTCCCTTTGGTACCCCTTACCTGCTTGGGGCTCCTAGGCCAAGTTTAATTCTCTTCTCAAGAACTCACCATGAGGTTCCTGAAGAAAACGTGAAGGTCCCCCCTGCCAAAGGATAGGGTTGTGGCAGTCGGGGGAGGGGCAGAGGAATGGTCCATGTGGCTCCCTCCCTCCCTCCTCCCTCCCACTGCCCTCCGCACCTCCCTGTCTGGTGAGGCTGTCTGGTGAACAGGGCGAGCCAGCCATCCCCTGGCCTAGCACAAGCATGGTGCTGGGTGACAAAGAGGAGTAGACTACCCCATCGAAGAGAGTGCAGCAGTAGCCGCTGTCCAACCGGGTCTGGTGGAGGCAATGCAGCTACCCCATCGAAGAGAGTGCAGCAGTAGCCTCTGTCCAACCGGGTCTGGTGGAGGCAGTGCAGCTGCTCATGTTAATGTTGCTGGGCAGCTGGAGCCACACGGTCTGAGCTGGGTGCGCCAGGGTCCAGGTGCCTCCTCCTGGCTGCGATTGGGCTGGTGGTGGCACTGACCCCGGCTGGCAGTGTTTTCTTGCTGGGCCGGTACTGGGAGCCATGCGGATGCTGCAGGAGGCGATGGCGGTAGCATATCAGTGGGAGCTGAAGGCACAGCAGGCGCCCCTCTGTGCCCTGACTGATCTCAGTGTGAGGTAGAGGAGGAGGAGCTGGGGGAAGATGGGAGAAGTAGGATGATGACGGAGGAGGAGGGTGTTTGGGGGCCACTCCTGTCAGGCATAGAGGGAGGAGGAGGGGGCCTGTGCCCACAGGTTAGGGGGCACAATACTTGCCCTGGTGCTGACAAGGCACACTACACCACTGGATTGTGGGCTTCTTATGCTCTGTCAGCACCTGGCTAAAATGCAGTAGTTCCCCCACTCAAGAGACTTTGTGATTAAAACACAAAACATTTCAACTTTATTTTTCAGGCTTGCCCAAAGCATGAACTATGTTAGGCCCGTTGACTATCAACCATTCACTTTCTGTGACAATTTTATTTCTTCCAACCTTTCCCTGTACTCTCCTACCTGTTCCCTTTGCCCCACATTCTCTCCCTCCCTCCCTCCCTCCCAACTGTCAACAACAAGCACAACCCCTCTGCTTTCTGTAAGNTGTGATATGATAGGCTCGGTTCAAGACAGCGTGGATGCCAGCACTGTTGGCCACAGCAGGGTATAAAAGTAGCAAATAACTGGACAACCTAAAGGATTATAATTGTGGCTCCTTGGTAATGCCCATGTTTTCTGTGCAGAAGATCCCAGGTTGTGTCTTTGGAATCCTTTCATACTTTAGCTCCCATCTTTTCTTATTTTTTTCTGTTGATAGGCTCGGTTCAAGACAGCGTGGATGCCAGCACTGTTGGCCACAGCAGGGTATAAAAGTAGCAAATAACTGGACAACCTAAAGGATTATAATTGTGGCTCCTTGGTAATGCCCATGTTTTCTGTGCAGAAGATCCCAGGTTGTGTCTTTGGAATCCTTTCATACTTTAGCTCCCATCTTTTCTTATTTTTTTCTGTTGCCCATAATAAACAGCTTTTCTTTACAGTCACGCATGAATTAATTTGAATATGTCGGCACTCCTGGACTTTCACAGGACTTTACCGCCCATAATAAACAGCTTTTCTTTACAGTCACGCATGAATTAATTTGAATATGTCGGCACAGGACTTTACGTGTTGAGGAGACTGATGGGACTGGTGCTTTCACACAAAGCACTCTTCCATGTGGAAAACTTATATGTCAGTTGGAAGGCTTGTAGCTTAGCTTTCTTCCTCAGGAGCCAATTTTTCAGGAGGCAGGAGTACTGTGAGAAGACCATACCATGCAGGAAGTGGCACACTTTTGAATGCTAAGTAATCAACAAAATTCTTAGTTTCTTCCATCCTTATTTCATGCATTCAGCTTTTAGTTCTGAAGTGGTTAAGGATTTCAAGTGAGTTTGGAACTTTTCCCCCAGATAACTAATTCAGTTTTTGCATCCAGCAGATAGAATGTGTAGGAATTCAAAAAGGAGAGGTTGGCCATTACTATGATGGAATTCTGCTGTTGCTGAGTAGTGTGTATCTTATCAATATGCACTGCTGTATTTTGTAGCTTAGGAGGCAATGTCTGCACCACACTTTTTAACTAAAGGCAAAGTCTTATTTGAAGCAGGGCTATTTACCTGTGAAATGCCATCTAGGCAACAAAATGCCTCACTGGACAGACTAGAATGTGACTCGCCTTTCAATACCATGAGAATCGTTCATTGTTATTCACATGACTCTAGTCTGCCTACATTTTATTCTGTGCTTCTGCTCATTGGCATTTAGTTTACGGCAGTATGAAACAGTTAAATTGCAATTTCCAAAGTGAGTCGTGTGCTTAATAACTGAATTGTGTCTGCAGTCTTTGCAGGCAGATAGCACCAGTCAGTGTTAAGCAAGTCAAGTTCTGGCTATGCTTCTATATTTAATGTGATGGTCACCAAAAGTAAGGATGGTGAGATTAGCTTAGGTAGAATACAGTTCTTGGTGTCAGTTAACCATGATTGTTATATGTATTTTATCTAGTATCAGAGGTCATCTGCCCCTCAGTTCCAGTTAATGGAGAATCCAAGAATGAGGGTGCTGGTTTTTGTGGGGTTTTTGGGTTCTTTGGCTGTGTTCTGAAGGTTGCTCTTCCTGACGTTTCGCTAGTCTCTGTGGCCGGCATCTTGAGGACTGGAGTAGGAACTCTGTCCATGCTCTGGACATGAGGGTGCTGTTGCCATGACCTTCTGATTTAGGGCTCCCCAGAGGCATCTCCTTGGTGTCTGGGAACAGAATGCTGGATCAGAAAGGCCTTGGAGGTTGATCCAGCATAGAGTTCTGATGGGTTTCAATCAGTGGCATAGAAGAGAGCAAATATCTAACTGCTGTGCTCATTCCTGGACAGATTGCAGAAGTTCGCTCTTGCATGAAGTTCACGGTCCTCATGGTAAAGGATGAGCTTCATCAGCCACACAGGTTCCTTGTATAACCAGATCTTCTAAATTCAATGAAATGTTGATTAAGATAAATGTAGTAGAAACTAGATTCACAGTATGCTCTTTAGCCATCTTCCTGGTGGAACTGCCACACAAGTGTAACAAACCTTCCTTGACTCTTGGGGTCAAATGAGATGAGACAGCAGCTCACATTTAAAAGCAGAATTCCCTTACATATTAAAAGATAGTTGCTTGTAATGGTGTGAGCTTTTCTTAGCTCATGTATCTTTCAA